ATATATATATATATATATATGTCTAGGTGTTTGTCAATCTTGGCATATTATTGGGGTACGTATCCAATTATGCCTTCTCCAAGCTCCCAACCAACTTGGGCTGGAGGTACATGCTCGGCGTCGGTGCACTTCCAGCGGTGGTTCTCGCCGTCGGCGTTTTAGCCATGCCCGAGTCACCTCGTTGGCTCGTCATGCAGGGACGACTCGGGGATGCCAAGCGAGTTCTCGACAAAACCTCAACTTCCAAAGAAGAGGCTCAACTCAGGCTAGACGACATCAAAGAAGCTGCAGGCATCCCCATGCACTTAAACGACGACGTTGTTTCGGTCACGAAACAAAGCCACGGCGAAGGTGTATGGAGACAACTGATCCTTCATCCCACACCGGCCGTTCTTCACATTTTAATCGCAGCCCTTGGTATCCATTTCTTTCAACAAGTCACGGGCATAGACTCTGTCGTTTTGTACAGCCCAAGGATCTTTGCGAAGGCCGGGATCACCTCTTACGAGCACACGCTACTGGCAACCGTGGCCGTTGGATTCATCAAGACCATTTTCATCTTCATCGCCACATTTCTCCTTGATCGGGTTGGACGACGCCCATTGCTTTTGACCAGCATGGGTGGAATGATACTTTCCCTTGCGTGTCTCGGTGCGGCGCTTACGATCGTCGATCATCACGACAGCACAATCCCGTGGGCCGTCGCATTGTGCATCACCATGGTGCTATTCAACGTTGCATTTTTCTCTATCGGACTGGGGCCCATCACATGGGTCTACAGCTCTGAGATCTTCCCGCTAAAGCTGCGAGCGCAAGGAGTCAGTTTGGGAGTGGCCGTTAACAGGGTGATTAGTGGCATCATCTCCATGACTTTTCTTTCCTTGTACAAGGCCATCACGATTGGCGGGGCCTTCTTTCTTTACGCTGGAATTGGAGTGTTGGCTTGGGTCTTCTTCTATACAATGCTTCCGGAAACACAGGGCAGAACCCTCGAAGAAATGGAGGTCTTGTTTGGTAAATACCATAAGTGGAGACAAGCCAACGCCATGCTCAAGAGCAAGAAAGTTGATCATGGTGATGGCGATGAAAACAAGGGTCAAGTCAACTAAGAATAAAAATCAAGTCTACTGTAGGTATTGTATTGAAGTCTCACAGCTACCACATTTGCATTTCATTTGT